CCTGTTTTTTAAACAGAAAGAGAAAGAAGACATGGAGTTGGGTGGGTGGGGAGGTGGGGAAGATCTGGGAGGAGACAAGGGAGGGGAAACCATGATCAGAATGTACTGTATGAAAAAAAAATATTTCTTTTCAATTCTAAAACAACAACGAAAAGAATGATGACCATCTTAATTAGGTTTTCTATTTCTGTGAAGAGACACCATGACCACAGTAACTCTTATAAAGGAAAAACATTTGATTGGGTGGCTGACTTACAGTTTCAGAGGTTCAGTCCATTATTACCATGGCAGGAAGCATGGCAGCATGCAGGCAGACATGGTGCTGGAGAAGTAGCTGAGAGTCCTACATCTTGCACAACCAGGAAGTCAACTGACACACTGGGTGGTATCCTGAGCATAGGAAACTCAAAGCCTGCTCCCACAGTGACACACTTCTTCCAGCAAGGCCACACCCACTCCAACAAACCTCACCTCCTAATAGTGCCACTGCCTGTGAGATTATGATGACCAATTACAAGCAAAATACCACAAGGACCTATGAACTGAAAGACAATTTGCGGGCCCCACTCACTTGCCAAGTAGACAATGTTGGACAGGGAAAGGAAAATCATGATGAATACTCCCATTCTGAATGGGAGGAAGACATGGATGACACCCAGGATACAGCAGGAATGGTGGAGGGCCCTGCTGTCCTGGTTTTGCCCTCTGGAAGATTCTACCTTGTCTGTCCTGCTCATCTGAAGTAGATATCACGAAGTATGTCTTCCTTAGAAGCTGTTTGGGGACCTGAACAATTAAGAGGCTTTGTAATATAGTTGGGAAAAACAATTGCCTGGACACTGTGCTAGGATTCTCTCACATGGTCTTCCAATCAGTCTGTGGGCCAGTAGCCACACGCATGCCTCTTTCTCACATAACTTTTATGCTGACGTCATTTCTGTGCATCCTTACTTGGCCACACCCTTTCTCCTCTCCTGACAGCTACTTTGAAAGTGCTGGAATAATAGGCTCACATAGGAATGAGCACTCCTGAACCATCCCTTGCTTTGAGGCTGCATCCCTCTCATGCAAAAAATGGTGGTAAATATCTTTGTCCATGTCACAGATACAGAGGACACTAATAATACCATTTACTAGACAGATGTCGTATACAAAAATAATAAATATGCCATATTTCTTGTGGCCATAGACCTTTCACCAGGTCACAGAAAATAATCTCAACAACTTTACAGGAAGATAATTGTTATAGAAAACATTATCAGGTCCCAATGGAATTGAAGAAAAAGAAAGTAATAACAGTCTTGTTCTGGTTGTTATTACTATTTTTTTGGACAGTTTGACACAGTCCAGGGTCATCTGGGAAGAAAGAACTTCAACTGAGAAGATGTTCCCATCAGATGGCTGATAGGCAAGTCCGTGAGGCATTTTATCGATTAATGATTGACGTGGAGGGCCCAGCCCACTGTGGGTGGTGTCAGTCCTGGGTTTGTAGCCCTAGGTGGTATATGAAAGCTGGTTGAGCAAGTCACAAGGAATAAGCCAGCAGCCGAGTTCCTTCATGGCTTCCGCTTCGGGTCTGATTGTGGGGGCACACGCTGGGAAGATGAGCTGAAGAAGTACAGGCAGGGGGCCTGACTGAAGGCTTGAGGCACGCCTGGAAGCAGGAACAGAGAAGTCACATGTGATCCTCACAGTTCACTAAAGATTAAGTGCAAGAGATGCCAACAGCCACCCTCTCCCCAACGCTATCCCCCACCCTCACCCCAGTCACAGCGGTGGACCGGAATAATAAAGCCACGGGAAAAATTTCCATTTGGAACAGGGATTAACAGGACACTTGGAGGCGTCACTGGCACAGTCACAGACCAACCTGGCTGCTTCCTGCTCTGAGAAAGAAACTGATGCCCTTTTGGCCAACTCCATTCTGAGACTCTCTCCTTTCTCCGTCATCTTCTGGGGCCACAGCATCAGCAAAGAGAATGTTAGAGGACCTGGCCTCTTTGGGAGTCAGTGGGGGTGGGCAACCATACTAACCACTTCTTAGTCCTTTATTCCTTCTTGGACAATAAAAGTGAACCAATAAAAACTAGTTGGGGCCAATGGAATGGCTCAGTAGGAAAAGTATTTCCCACACTGCAACTTGATAACCTGAGTCCAATCCCTGAGGCTCATATTTGTGTGGGGGGTGGGGGAGGGAGGGGTTGAGGCAGTGGCAAGCATCTGTAATCCCAATACTCCTAAGGGGAGATGGAGGAGGGGCAGGTGTAGGGCGTTTACCCACCACCCCCACAGTTCCCCAGAGTTTTCTTGAGTGCGATCAGCAGGAAATATTAGATAGAAGGATTTATAGCAGAGAATCTTGCGGAGATAAACAGATAGAAAATAAAGGATAGCCTCCAGAGGGCCTGGAACCTATTCCAACGGGCCCCGACTGTCTCTGTCCCAGGGTTTTTATAGAGACGCCAAGGGGTGGAGCAAAAGACCTCCTCCCCCAGCACAGCCAAGTGCAGACCATCCCAGACACCTGCACTCAGGCCCGTGGTCCTGATCATCCTCTATTCGGACCTGCTGGGTAAAGCCACGAGGAACCCAAGAACGGGCTCCCACAGGCAGGGTAGGGATATTGTCCAGAAGCTTGTGGGCCAGCTAGCCTAGGGCACGCAGCATGGCTGAACAGGAGCATGCCTGCCTCGACACAGTGGAAGGAGAGAGCTGATTCCCCAAAGTTGTCCTTGGATCTCCATGCATGTGGCTGCATATGCATGTGTGCCCCCTGTGTGTGTACGTGCATGCACACACATGTGCGCACAAGTTTTAAAAGTTTTAAATCTTAAAAGAACATTCCTCTGATGTTTGCAAGGTTTTTAAGCAACCACACCCAACAATGCCTTTTGGTAGAGTCCTGGAGTCAGCTATCTAACTTGGCTTCCTGCCCTCACCCAGGCTTCTTGTAATTTGGGCTACCTTAGGGTGGTGCCAAACCAGTACATTTGAAGGGAACAGCCTTAATCTAAACCTTGTCTCAGGTCTGAGCCTGTGTTGGATGTCTTGGGTGGCCTCTGAGAAAGGTGCTAAGCAACTGAGTCTGAATTCTTAGTGTGGGGGTTAAAAAGCACCCATGTTTCCAGACACTGTGTGGGTAGTTTGAGTGTAATTGGCCCCCATAAGGGCACAGGCTGTGGCACTACTGGGAGGTGTGGCCTTTTTAAAGTGGGTGTGGCCTTGTTGGAGGAAGTGTGTCACTGTGGGGACAGGCTTTGAGGTCTCTTTTGCTTAAGTTTTGCTCAGTGTCACAGTCCACTTCCTGTTGCCTTCTGATCAAGATGTAGCCAGCACCATGTCTGCCCACATGCCGCCATGCTCCCCACCATGAGGATAATGGACTGAACCTCTGAGCTGTAGGCTGCCACCCCAATTAAATGTTTTCCTTTATAAGAGTTGCTGTGGTCATGGTGTCTTCACAGCAATGGAAACCTTAACAAGGACACACTGCCTGTCTTTCTTGAAAGGATCTGCTACAGGGCAGGGGGAATGCATACTATCTGTTGAGCTTTCCCGACATCTAGAGCCATTGGCTTTGTTAGCACCTGATCAGCCTCCCAGATGTCATAGAAGTGATTTTTCTCCAATGCTTTGCCAACAAGTCATCAATTTCCCAGTTGGCATGTGTGCCATCCCTGAGTGCAGCAAAAAATGACCAGGCTGGCATTTCCATTTAGGGAAGGCTGATGTTGCAAGTATGAAGACTCAATGGCTCAAAGAAGACAGTAGCATGTATTGTCATGTGTAAAACTCCGTGGTGATCCCTCCCAATCTAAGGACACTTGTTTAGCTCCACAGGTCATTAGGAGACCTGGGGTTCTTCCCCCTTTGTTTCTTGGTCATTTCCAAGGCCACTGTCCTTGTTGACTCCATTGCCACAGGGTTGCTGCTATTATGTGTCTCCATTTGTGGAAAAGGGAAAGAACGTGATTGCAGTGTGAGAGGAGGTTCACTCACAATCTTAGGGCCACACAAGAAAGTGGGTCATGGGGATTGGCTACATGGCCTAGGGAAGGATGAATGAGCAAGAAGTCATTAGGAATTCCTGTAGTTTTGGGTATAGATAGGTCAGAGACCCAAGGCATGGAGCCGCTGCCCCGACCCCTCCTCCCCTTCATATACACAGGCCACACACTCTCATTCCTACCCGGAAGCCCAAACAAGCCCAACGGATTATCACGATATATCTTAGTATGGTGAGCATTGCCATTTCCCCAAGTTCACCCTAAAATGGTGTCTACCACCCTTTCTGTGCCAAGTGGGGGCCAAGGGGAAGATTTAAAAATACTAGGAACACAATGGATATTGTGAATGAAAGGGTCTGCTAGCCCAGGGTATCCAAGAAGCAGGTATCAACAAGAGATTATGTCAAGAGAAGGCTGGCGTGGTGGCTTAGCCGTAAAGGTACTTCTCACCAAGCCAGACAACCTGAGTTTGATTCCCCAGGAAGCACACAGCAGAAGGAGAAAACCAGCTCCTGCAAGTTGTCCTCTGACTTACACACGCACTCCTTGATACACATGCTTATACACACACATACACACACACACACATACACACATACATACACACACATACACATATGCACACACATACACACACACACATACACACACACACACACACACACACACTACATTTTTAAGTGTCAAGATGTGCCTGTGTGGAATGACACAGGGAGGGGCCTAGGAAAGACTGGAGTGGCTGCCAGCTGGGATGTGTGACAGATCCTGAGAGACAAGATGGAGGAGGTTCCCTGCAGAGGCACAGCAGCTATGAAAGCTACAGCAGAGCATTAGCACATGCTGGGGCCCAAGACTCCCAGCTACAAACTCTTCACACCTCGTTGGATCACTAGCCGTGTGCACACTAGTGTCAGCATCATTGAAGGAGGTGAAGGGATTCAAAGGCAGAGCATCCTCTGGTCACTTACATGCCCCACAGGAAGAACTCTGAAAGGCAGCCACCCTCACGGCTGCCATAGAGGCTTAGAGCTGAAAAATAGGGATCTGTACTCTAGAAACAGCACAGGTTGGGAACTGAAAACATATAATACCAGGTCATAATGCACTAACTATATTTGGGGTGTGTGTGTGTGTGTCTAACAGCAAAGTCTCATGTAGCCCAGGCTAGCCTCAAACTTGCTATGTAGCTGAGGAGGATGACCTTGAACTCTTTCCAGGCACCTTGGAGAAGCCCTGCCCCCAAGCCTACCCCCCTCTTCCACTGTCCCAGGCTTGCTCTGTCAGGCATGGCCACACTGAAACCTCTGTTTCTCTTCCAGCCTCTCTCTGGGCCACTGATTCTACTGCACATCTTTTTCCATCATCTCTCAGAACTGCTACTTAGAGGCCAAACTAAGAACCTGGGACAAAATTGAATATCAATTCTGTGCCTGTAGGTAGGAGCCTTAGCTTCACTGAATAGGTTAGATATCCAATTGGATTTTTATTAAACTATGATGCAGATCCATGTGTACTGACACTAAATGCAGATCCACTCAAGTCAAAATGCAGGATGAAAATAACTTATAGAGCACAGACCAAATATGTACACATAGGCACAGCTTCCAAAATGCCCGCCTGTTCACCCCTGGGCGGTGGGAGGAAGAGGGATGTGCTTTGCACTATAGTGAACAAATATTTCCGGAATGATCAATATAGAAAAATCCAAGTTGGAAGTGGTGAAACTTGCCTATAGCACTTGGGAAGCAGAGGCAGGAAGAACAGGAGTTCAGGGCTGTCTTCAGCTGCATTGAGATCTGGAGGAAAGGATATGGTTCCTACAACAATCCTCCATGTGGGCCAGGACCCTGCATGGAGATTCTCCGGGAAGACCTTCAGTGAGGTAGAGGGATCGTTCAGAAACCTGGGGCATCTGGCTCTTGGGGAGGAAAAGGAGCCAGAGTGGAAGAGCTGAGACAAGAATAAGGGGCAGGAAAGTCCTTAGTGAAGCTGTAGCCTTTTGCTCCCAACCCTGGAGCTCAGGCTAGCCCAGCCTGATAGCTGCAGTGACTGGGATCAATCACAGTTGCCTCACAAGAATGAGGTCCTGGCAGCTAAGGGCATGCTGTTAGGATTCCTGCCACAGTGGAGACATTTTGAGGGCCATGGTGCTCTCAGGGGCTGGCATGGGGCTAAGGACCCCAATCGCTAGCACCCTGTGTCTGTCCTCCCATCTCTGAGCCAGTAGGGGAGGCATCCTTTCATACGTTGTGTATTTTATGTTTGTTTCCTCTGCTCACTGTCTTGCACATAGTATGGCTTCATGAGACAGAGTGAGGAAAAAAGGAGCAATTCAGATCCTAAGTGGGTCATGTGCAGGAAAGACAGCTGGACAGACAGACAGACAGACAGACAGACAGACACACACACACACACACACACACACACACACACACACACACACACATATTCTAACCCTACCACTAGGGGGCGCCTGAGCACGGAGACTTGGCTACCTCTGAGCAGAGTTTGTATTTGTTCTCGGGTTTAGCAGTCTGGCCCAGGTGAGCCGTAGACTAATTCTGCAGGCTTGGTCGTTCGGGACTGGGTATAAGCACCGGCTCTCCTTAGCAGAATGTTGTTTGTTACCCCGGACGCCACCTGCCGC